ACCCTCAACTCAACCCCTCCTGCCAGCCGGACCTACAACTGCGGCCTGGTCTGGTTGGGTCGCTGTGATCACCACCAGAGTTCAGATGCCTTGCACCCCCCCCCCTCCCATATCATTCAATTCATTTTATTTGTGAAAGGTGAAATTCTATTAGATTGCCTCTGGTTGAAGTGAAATTAAATACCCTAATATTCAATTTTATTTCAAAATACATTTTAACGTCTGTCCTACGACAAGTATAACTTGTCGCTCTTTCATTCATTTCTATCAGATCTCTCCGAGGCATTTGGAGGATCACGAGTTGCTGAAGTATATTTAATTTAAAGTTCTATAATGTATCGTATCATAGAGTTCAATTTCAATGCTTCCACAATTTTATTGGATATCATTACACACAATCTGTCTCGTTTTGGCATGTCCTATTGAATGATTAGGTGACTTCCAATCATTCTACAAGTAAAGACCATTACATTTTGTTAAAATAGAAAAATTGAAAATTGGGATTTTTTTTGAAGTTACATAATTAAAAGAGTAATACAAGATTTGGATTCCTTTTCCAAAATCAAAAAGGAAATGTCTCATGCTCAAGGTCAATCAGAGTCGAAATGGCAAAGTTATTACCCCTCAAAGGGGTAAATGTGTGCAAAAACGACCAAATTGTCAATTTGGGGGGCAATAACTCTGCCATTTCGATTCCGATCGTCTTGGAGCATAAAACATTTTCGTTTTCTTTTGTCAAGATGACCCCGAAACAATGGTTACCTTTGCACATTTCTCCCGAACCCCGCACCCCCTCTTCCCCTCAAACTTACGTAAGTAAATACGTAAACCATTCAAAATATCACTTTCGTTCCTTCTCATCGGACACTCGCGAAACTTCGCAGGCTAAGTTCCGCAACTCTAAAACTAAAAATTTCACACTCGGTTTGACCATCTGACATTATGATCAAGTGTGAGAGAATCAGAAAGTCTCGAAGTGGACGCTGGAGCTATTTGCGTGTTCGCGCTCTTTTTCCACTCAGTGTAGCCACCACCGAAACAACAACATCTGAGGCTCTCTCTGAGAAAAAGAGGCCCATATATTTCAAATAAGTCCGTTGAGAACGAAAAGGGGAGACTGAGACTCCCTTAAATTATCGATGTTAAAGCAAATTTGTATTTTGTCATCGGTACAGCCGTTTTCTAGAAAAAGTGGAACGCAGACACAGACAGACAGACTCACGACGGAGACATCGCCTGACCCCTCAGCGACTTGGACTGAGCTTCGCTCAGCGAAAATTTCGAGTTATAAAGTGCGTCGGATAGAGGAAACCAAGGGCTATCCATCAGCGGAAACCGCATTTCGATATGTCAATTAGTTTAAAAGTAATTCTGGTCTAAAGACCCAGCCGCCCATAAGGGGCACTGCTAATCCAAAACTTTGAAGCGCTATATCTCAGAAGTGACTTTCAAGCACTTGCGACGTTATACGGGGACCCGCTGAACTGCGTGTCTGTACGGAGCTGCCTGGAACTACGGGTTTATACGGAGACTCCACGAACTCCGTGCTTGTAGGTTTCAAGTGTCGCAGTGTTCTATTCTCCGCTCGGGGGTGGAGTCGGGTCAGGACGCAGGGGCGCCCAAACGATTTCGCCGAGGTGGGTCAGAGTACGCTGACACCCTCCCTTTTCATCATCTGGCCTCCCCTTTCATTTTTTTTCTTCTTAATACATAATACATACTAAGTTACTCTACTTATGCACAGATCTAGTGAAAGGTGAATGGTGGTTATACGGGACCGTCATGGTACTTACTAAGTTGCTTATCTCTCAGGAGGCAGGTGCAATTAATCAGTCAAAATTTGCAATTATCGAAACGACTCAGTACTTCTGTTATGCTATTCACTACACAAAACACAAAGACACGACACTCGTGTAGCGGTTTGGTTTTGGACGGCTCACAGTAGTAGAAAGATCCTTAAAGATCAAAGAAATCGCGAGCGAAGCGAGCGAGAAAAATTCTGGACGGAAACGAATTACCTCCGTGACCGACGCGACAAGAGTCTTAAGGTGAGGTGTGGGTGAAAATAGGAAATCGGTAACGAGAAGTCATGATGTACAGACACTTTTACAGTATGATAGGCATGTGAAAAAAACATTTTTGACAAAGTACGAACGAGATTGGTCCAGTGGTTTAGGAGTTATGGGCATTTTAAGGCAAATTTAGGCCATACTTTGAAAAATCACTTGCGCATTAGATTTGACAGTAAAATTCAACCAAACACATTTTTGGTTTTCTTTTATCCTGAAGAACAACTTTACAGAGAGAGATTTCCTTTTTAGCCCCCTAAACATTCACAGCAATGTGTTTTATCAGTGCTTCACAGAAAACCTTAAAATTTTGCCATGTTTTGTGATTTATTTAATTTTCAATGATAAATTTTACTGTCTATTGCACATATCTCTCCGTAACTTTGTTCCCTGTACAGAAAAGTATTTTTCCTCTTATTATAAACACACTCACACTGAATCTAATGCGCAAGTGATTTTTCAAAGATCAGAAAACATAGTATCGTGAAGAACGACTTTAAACCTTAAACATGAGCTTAAATCATAAAGTGGCATTTCGAAATTAAAGAAAAAGTAAAGACCCGAACAAAGACCAAGCATGCATTGGCAGAGAAAGGGCGCAGGAACATTTTAAGCACAGAAAACAAGTTCAATCATTTTATGATTTTCGCATAAATTTTCACCCACACCTCACCTTAAGTCTTAAGGAGAAAGGGCCAGATGCCAGACCCAGTGAGGCAAGGCACTCGAGTGTACTTACTGCTTGATAAATTATAGAAACATTTTACTTGTTTTATTGGGATATTTTTGCATTTTTATGCTTTCTTACCATTACAATTTTTTTTTGTTCCTGTGTCTTTTAGACATGCGGAAAGGAGCCAAACGCTATGAAGAATCTAACGCTGCATTTATTTTAAAAAGTATGTTTTTTTTTTGCTTGAGCTCCAAATATTGGCTAGATATAGCGCATAGTAGACTTTGAGATCATGTTATTTAAGCCCGGGAGGGACAGTTTTTCCAGACCATTTCCGTGTCACCGAACAGCAGCAGTTAGCAGTTGTACCAGTTGCCCTAATAATATATCCCTCCATTGCAACAGCGCGTAATAGCCGCGAGCGAAGCGAGCACGAAAAAAATTTGGGGCATAGGAGCACGAAGATGCTATTTTGAGCGCTTAAATAAATCTTATAAAGCACCCGTAAAAGCAGGGAGCTGCACTGAAGCTGAATTTACGCACTTCCCCATCAAAGGACCGCGAGCGTAGCGAGCGCGAAAAAAAATTCGGTTTTATAGCGCGCCAAAATCGAGCAAAAATAGCGGGATGTACTCCTACCCCACACCTTAACTAAATTAGGGTGTTACCTCTTTCGCTTCCAGAGAAACAAATGCAAATGTGGACGGACATCAGGTCGCTTAAAAAAAGGAAAGTTTATTTGAGCCCAATGGATTGGTTTTTCGAAGCAGTGATGTAGGGTAAAACTGTTAGCGACCACGGACCTTAACGAATTGTAAATAGACCCTTGTACATATCTCCCTCCGCCTTCTCTCTTTCTTTCTTTTCCTTTCTCTTCCGTTCCTTCTCCCTTTTTTCTTCCTCTTTCTCTTCCTTTCTCCTCCCCTTTCCTCCCTTTCTACCTCCCCTTTCCTCTCCTCTTTACCTCCCCTTTCCTCTCCTCCTACCTCCCCTTTCCCTCCTCCTCCACCTCCCCTTTCGGGATTTTGAGGTGGGTCGGCCGACCCACCTTGACCCCCGTTTGGGCGCCCCTGCAGGACGAGAAGAGAGAGTGTATCGGGAGTGAAGCACGTCTGTACTCGAGCACGGTTTATTCAGAAGTGTCCAGAGCCCTAGCGCCAGCCGCGAACCCCGGCAACCAACCCAACAATCGGAGCCCGCGAGAGAGAGGGGGGGGGGGGCAGAGCGTGCAGCCAGCAAGTGTTGCCAGTGCTGGCAATACAACATTATTACCTTTCTTAGACTTCAATCCATCACAAGGATCAACATCATCACAGTAGATAACAATTAAAAGAAGATCTTTGCCATGCTTGACGACAAGGGGGTGAAGCTTTACATAAAGACCGTCACAAATGTCTTGAAATACCCCATCAAGTCTGGGAGGAGGGTTTTTAAAACAGTGCCAAACATCTTTGCAGTTCAATAATTGTTCAAGCTGAGGTAGGAAAGGAAAAGTGTAACCATACTCATGTTTTACTACTTTTGGTGTTCCCTTCCTCCAAACTGTTTTACTTGAAAGTACAACTTCCTTCATTGCGATTGGGCGGTTGCTGCTTTGCTCTTCAATAAATGATGAAAGTTCATTCTCCCTCAAATATACTTTGGCCTCTAAACCTTTCCAGAGAATCAGTGACAGCTTGCAGATTTAAATAGCCATCTCTTCTGTATAAATCTTTGCATATTTTGCACAACAAGACAAACAGAACCAGTTAATAAAGAAAAACAGACAAGGAAAATACATACAAGAGTAGGTAACACATGTTTAAAAACAGCAATTGGCTGAATAAAGAATACTTACTCTTAAAATAGTCAAGTAGTCATCAACCAAATCGTTAACACTTTTAACAATAAAGTTTGTGGCGCTTACTTTGTAATGCCCAACTAGGCTGCCTAAAAATCTCCCAGCTTTTGACTGAATGATACTTGCAGTTTTGTGGAATATGTCTAGATAGAAAGGGTAGCAGACAAATAAGACTTTGCATTAAATATATTCCATGTAAAGCAGCATTACATATTGATAGATTTAGCACAGCTACACAAATTACCATTGTACGGGTTGTCCGTATCACCCATGATGAAATTGTGGCAGGCAAGAGCACGATAATCAAAACATGAGGAAATGCTGCAAGCAAAAGTTACTTTGTCAATCAACACAAAAACTAAATGCAGATAAGGTTAATGTAAAACCTAGGCTGAGTAAAGTACCTTATAACCTGTGTCGAAGTCAGTTGTAAACAAGATGATATTTGAAGAAACAAAAGCAATGCTAACGCAGTTACATTTTTGAAGCGGTTGACAGCATAAAATTTTACATGAGGACATGCAAACAAAAAGAACTTGTAAATCAACAGAGGTAAATAAATTATGAAGCAAAGCCAAGTTGATCATCAAAATTTAAAGGGTAATGTAGAAAATAGGCTAAATAGAGTTGGTACATTATAACCTATGTCGTCACTTATTTGTTTAGGGTATAACATCACAAACCGTGGCAAGTTGTATAACAGATGACATAAGAAGAATAAGGGAAAAAGCTCTAGCCAAAAAAACAACAACAGAAATTCAACGAGAAATGCAAGGAGCTGGCGTTGATCGAACATTCCAGATTCGATTTCAAACTTTAGAAGAAACTTTCACAGTGAACGTGAAGCACACATGTTATGCCGCCTCACAAATTAATCGCACAACACATGTGATCGGCTTTGTTATAGAGTACAGCTAAAATATCTTATATCTGCCTTCATGATATCAAGGTGCGAATAAAAACGAGAACGCAGAACGCAAGTTGCAATAACATCAGCAGAAGGCGGGTTCATCCAGCTGACGTCATCGTCGGCCTCGGTGTTACGTCACGTTACAGTGATTATTGGCACTTGGATTTGCGGTGTTGAATTTTTCATATCGACCTGTTGCTGTTTTTTTTTTTTTTTGAAACCCAAGCAGAACAAATAATTTGTAAACAGTGAGCAGTTAGTTTAATTTAGTCGCTTGCTGCTATAGAACGCATTTATTACCCGTGTATTAACGTTGTCGGCAGAATGTGGTTGTGATATCGCTGAGTACCGAAAGAAGTGAACCTGAACTGAGCACCATGGCGAATGTCTGCTTTTTACTTTTCTGTGAATCTTTGGTGGATGGACCGAGCACACCCGGGTGGCCACTCCAGTGGTTAGGTTAAGTGGGAGACTTTGAAAGGTGAGTGATCCAGGTCCTAGAGGATAAAAAAA